TATGTCGCATGATTATATTCACTAGAAATCGCGCAGCACAACTGATTGTCGTACAGCTGATCGTCTGAACTTTTTAAAAACTTTTTAAAAGCGTTTTTTACTACCAGTTTGCCTGAACCGGTAGTAGAAAAAAATGCTTTAAAAAGTTTTTAAAAAATGTTCCGACGATCAGCTGTACGACAATCAGTTGTGCTGCGCGATTTCTAGTGAATATAATCATGCGACATAGATGATTGTCACACAGCTCACTACCGGTTTGCCCGAACCGGTAGCATTTTTTTTACTACTGGTTCGGGCGAACTGGCCCGAACCGGTTTCATTTCACACCTGACCCAAACACTAGATATTTCTTAATAAGATCTTTTGTATTATATGCCAAAAAAATAGGAAAAAACCAGATACGGTATTACATAATTGAGGAAATAACAACAAAAAATGCTTATTCTTTTGTGGTACTTAAAGAAAAACAGCCGGTGGCAACCTTCTTCAAGCTATCACTCCCCAGTTATGGTGGGTTACCTCTCAAAACTTCCAAATAAACAGTGACTGAGAATTTTAGGTCCTGTAATTCAAGCTTTAGAAAAGCTGAGCTAAGGTACTGTAACGTAAAGAACAGGATGAACCACTAAGATATCTGCTCCAGTTCCCAAACCAGAGGCACTTCAACAGCTCATTTTTATCAAGCTTCCTCACTCATGCCTGTTGAGGAAACAGCAATTTGAGTGCCCTTCCTGATTTGCACAAGAATAGGGGAACCCTTGCTAATGGTAGACTCCATTGTACACTGTACCCCCACATTGTACTGCATAAGAAGATTGATGCTGATTTAATACTGGGCTCATGTTTACTATACAAGAAAACAGAATTTGGGGTTTTTTTTTTGTTTCACAAAAAAACACTGGCCACATTTCTATATTGCATTCAAGGTATCATTCTACTGCTTCATTGTCATTTCTGACCTCCAAGTTCACAAGAAGTTCTAAAGCCACTGAAATATTCAAGTCCGACTCTAGGAAACAGCACCAGAGGATATGAAGTCAACCAACACAGGAAGCTGCCTTACACTGAATTATCAGTCCGCTGATGGAGGGGGGGGGGACTTTCGGAGACAGCAAAGCAGGCATTGTGCAATGAAAATTGGTGTTTTCAAGGCCAATCTGATACAAAAACGGCTTTCATACTGACTATAAGCCCAAGCAAGCTAACTGATGCAACGAATTAAAATCTTGGGGCACAATAGGACTGTAATGATCCTGCAAGAAAGAACCTTCTTACCCTTACGTTCTACATGGGGCTGCCCT